CAGAGTCTTGCTAAATCACCGAATGGCCCAGGCTAGGCTTGAACTTTCAATCCTCCTGCCTCAGCCTCCTGGAGTGTTGGGTTGACAGGGGTGTGCCACCATACCTGGGTCAGTATTGTACTTTATGCTAAAACATGAGGACTTCTTTATACTTTTTCAATTTTTTTCTTTACATTTTATTTTTTTAAATACTGGTTTTGGTCCCCTCTAGTGTATGGTTGTACGGTTTTGTGGTGTTTGCAACTGAAATATGAGGAAATGAATGGTGCTGTTGAGCAGGTGTAGGGACTGTGGACGGTACAGTGGCTGCCAGGGAACCGCTTTTGTCTTTTATTCCACATCTTTGAGTGATGACTGCCACTGCGTACTTGTGTAAATGCGCTTGTCAGCACTTTCTGTTATTTTCAATTTGAAGCGGAGAAAAATTATGTGAAGGATCATGCAAGGGATTACAACAGTGAATAGCTACTTAGCTGCCTTAAAGTGAAGTTTTGTGGATTTTCTTTCCCTTTAAAATATCATGTGTCATTTGTGTGATTAAATTTGGGGATTCATTCACTCACATACTGATTTACAAAGGAAAAACGTTTTTCTGGATTTTCAACTTGAAAATGTACCAAACATAGAGGTGTACACCTGTAATTCCAGCATTGTGTGAGGCTGAGGCAGGAAGATGGAAGTTCTAGCCAAGACTGGGCAATTTAGCAATTTAGCCAGACTCTGTCATAAATAAAAGAATTAATAAATAAATGAAAAAACGAATAAGAGCTGGGATGTAGCTTGGTGTAAAGACATCGGTTTCATTAGGGGAGGGGGAGTAGGTAGAAATGCCTTGTATGGAGAAAGCTAGACTTGAAAATGCCTTCAGTTGGTGCAGGAGTTATTCAATGACTTTTGAAGCTTTCCGTTGTCTTCAGGCCGTTTTATATCATTTTAAAACACACTTGTGTACTTTATACTGTATTCAACCAAACATTGTCCAGCTGTGAGACCAGAATGATCTAGGACCCTTCCTCCCACCCCCCACTTCCCAGACAGGGTCTTGCTGAATCGCTAAACTGCCCAGGCTGGGCTAGAGTTTTCAATCTTCCCAATCCTGCCTCCTAGAGTGCTGGTATTGCAGGCGTGTGCCAGCAATCCTGGCTGTTTTGGTTTGTATGTTTGTTTGTTTTGCTGAGATACCGTCAGGCAGGCCCTGAACTCACTATATAGCCCAGGCTGGTCTCAAACTCGAGGCCATCCTCCTGCTTCAGCCTCCTGAGTGCTGGGATTATACGTATGTGCCACAACGCCTGGCTTTGTTAATGTATTTTTTTCTTAAACTTGTAATTGTTATTGGCGATCAAATGATGGAATTAGGAATAATAAAAGCAAGCAAAACCATATATCTAAAATAAACCTGGTGAAATTAACCAATTATTTAAATAACTTGATTCATATTCCATATATCTGGTTTAAAAAGTGAGAGGTTTGTCAAACAGGATTAAAAAAAAAAAAACTGGTACCTCTAGTCCTTCCGCGTAGAACTCAAAATTCGCGTTTCCATATGGTCAGATACAATTTGGAGGACAGGGTCCCTAGTGAGATTGACATACCGGTTTGCCTCTCCCCCTCGTCCCAAGTCAGTGGCCCACAGCCTACGAGTCCAGCGATATTGCCTTCGAGCGTGAGTAAAGTAACGCACATGTTTGCAACAGCGACTCGCGGTCCGTTAGAAGAGTTGCCCGGATGTGCAGAGGCGGAGCCAGCGTCTACCCAAGAGGCAGCTCGCGTGGTTAAATACTCTGCCCTCGGTGAGGCGCTCATTCCGCGCTGGAGAGCTCTGTGGGATCTGTTGTTTTTTCGGCGGTCACCTAGTATTTTCGCGCTGCTGCCATTCCTCTTCTCCGAGCCCCAGTCAGGGGCTTTCCTCTCGGTAAGCTGCTCCCGCCTCCGCCTGTGCCGCGAGGATACGGGCAGACCTCGTGGCGGTCAGGGCGACTGTTGCCGCCTGGCTCCGAGAAGAGAGGGCAAAGGGTCTAGATGCCGGCGCGGCTCCCCGGGATCCACTGGGGCGCGGGGGAGGGGAATGGGCTTGGCAGCAATGCGGCGGGTGGGCCACCATTTTGCGTCGACTTGGGGGGGTTTCGGAAAGTTGCTGCTTGGCGGCGAGGTTTGACCGCCCAAGGCGGGCCGCGGTCGCGAGGGCACGCCGCCACTGCCTCCTCGTCCTCATCTCCCGAGGCCTGTGACTCTGTCCCCAGATTGGTTTTGGCTTTTCTTTCTGAAGACAATTCCCTTCGGTCTTTTGTACGTTTGATGCCGGTGTTCGACGGAGACCCGCCCACCCCCAAGTCCCTTCAGTCCGGAGAGTGATGGTGGGGCTCGGAACTTAGAGGCGTCTGGGCTCTCGTGGCCCCTCAGTTCTTTCTACCCAGGCTCCCCTCCCCCAACCCAGGTTCCCAGTAATTCCGTATTCACACCCTTTTTCTTGCTTAAGGGACTGACTGCCCTTCTGTGTCAGAGAAATCGTGCTCCATTCCGTTATTGTCTCAACTAGGATAAGAGCCCTGAGGAGAAACGTTGAGTTAGATGCGTGATTTTCCAAGTAAGCTCTGCCGGTTTTTCTTAACGAGATGGAAAAAATTATCTCATTCTGAGGTTTTCTTCAGGAAACCTGCTCTAAAGATGGAAGAAGTACTCTCAACTTACCTCAAGTTTTCATGCTTTTTAAGGAGAAATCTCAGGACATTGTCAAGTGAACCAGTTTCGACGAGCATGGTAGACCTTCATCTAAGGAATTCTCTTTGTTTGAAATGATTTTGGTTTTGTTTTTTTTTTTTTTTTTAATCTGTAAATATCAATTTTCACTTTGTTTTCTGTTTAGGACTATGAGTTTAAATGTCTTTTAGTGCCATTAAACATAAATTTCAAATCTAGAAGTAGAGTTTTAAACTACAAAAGTCTTCCTAGCATTTGTAAGGTGTCTGTCTTTAGGTCTTACAGTGCAAACTCAAAGTGTCTCTAAGCAGAAACTTCACTGAGCCTATGAAAACTCTGGCTTGCCCATAAAATTAAATTGGTTCAGTGTACTTTTGGTGCTTTAATATCAGTACAAATTCCGTTATAATTATGCCTTGCATTTGTTTATTACGTTGAGGTGGCCATGTTGAGTGTTGATAGAATTGTTTTCAAGATGAGGAAACAACCGCAAGGAGAGGACTTTACCAACTCAAGTGGACAAGTTCTTTTCTTTTTTTCTTTTTTTCTTTTTTTTTTTTTTTTTTTTTTGGTGTTGTAA